TCTCTTTCTCTCCTCCCACTTTTACCTTCCACTCAACTTCAACTTCACACTTTAAGACAACTTCTATCTCCTCCTGGGACCCTGCCTGAGCCTCACGCCTGGCTTGGGTACCTCTGGCACGGGACAGCTCATCACAGTCCTACAGGGCCAGATCCCACCAGCTCACCAGCTCACCTATGGGGCCATCTCTTTACTCCAAGTTTTCCAAGATCCCACAGGGAGTCCCCTTTCCCCCTGCAACAGGACAGCCTAATGGGGGCTTCAGAACTCACCCTCCCAGCGGAGTGCCTTCAGATGAATCACAGCGCTTGCTAACAATATGCAAAGGTTGGAGAAGGCTGGCCATATTTCAGTTTCCAAAACTACACTGAGATCCCACACGAGGAGCCTCCATGGCACCTTTCACAGATACCACTGTGAGAATTCAGTTTCCTTGCTGCTCCTAGGATCCCCCACTCCATTTACAGACAAATAAATGCTACCCTCCCTTGAAACAGTGACTTTGGCCCCTCAAATTAAGAGTGCTCATGCTATTTCTTCACTTCTAATGGGTTTCTAACAAAACACATTTGTCAAAAGCAATAACTTCCCTCCCCAAGTCGATTTTAGGTGAAAACGTCTCTCTCGGTATGAAATCATCTTTGCCATTCAGCCGGCTTTTTGCCCTCGGTTGCGGTGCTAGACGCTGGGGTGGCAGTAGGGAGTTTTCAGGCTTAGAGACTGCAGGGGGAAGGCCCACGGAGTGGATTCGTTTGGTCTCGCTTACCCGCAACACATTTCTGCCTGCAGGTGCGGTGTATGGGACTCACGGGCGCAGAGGCCGCCAGACCTACACGCGCTACCAGACGCTGGAGCTCGAAAAGGAATTCCACTTCAACCGCTACCTGACTCGGAGGCGCCGCATCGAGATCGCCAACGCGCTCTGCCTCACCGAGCGCCAGATCAAGATCTGGTTCCAGAATCGGCGCATGAAGTGGAAAAAGGAAAATAAACTCATCAATTCCACACAACCCAGCGGGGAAGACTCTGAGGCCAAGGCGGGCGAATAGACTCCAGGGCAGGGACCAGGCCAGCGTCCTAACCTCTATTGGCTTTGCCCCCTGGTGCTCCTGCCTGCTCCCCAAGTTTTATTCCAGCCTGCTCCCACCCGGGTGCTTCTGCAGCTTAGGGAAGTCCAAAGCTTTACAAGAGTCTGCGCATTTACTTATTACAGAAAACAAGCAAACAAAACTCACACACCCAATGTCAGCTGTGGGACAGACATACTGTACACACACACACACAGGTTCTCCCCCAAAGCTGCCCGAGTCAGCTTGGGAGTCCCGGGGTGCACCCAGAATTGTCCCTGCTGCTGTGTTAGCGGCCCTGCGCTCCCCAGCTACAAATGCCTTGTTGTTGGGGGAAGAACGAGCCCCAGGCAGTGCCCGGTTTGCTGGCTGAGCTTTTCCGCCTTGGTCCCTCGCCATCAAATCTCGAAGGGCATCGCCAAATTGGCTCTGGCTACTGGAAAGAAAGGGCCTAAGAGCTGGGCCCCAGCCCTGTCGCGGACTCTCAGGATGCCCCTACACAAGAAGCCGAAGGAACAAAGGAGAACTCTCCTCTTCTCCGACAGAACCAAGTCTGTCTGCCGGCGCATAACAGTCATTGGGAGAGCTGCCGCTTCTGCCTAGGCGAACCAACCTGGGCGCCAGTGGAATAGTACAAGCTCGGGAGCGACAAGGCTCCCGCAAGCTCCCAGCTCCCGATTCCCACTCCTTGCCTCTTACAGAGCGGGCGCTGCAGCCTAGAAGCTCTCAGGACCCAAAAGAGGGGGTCCAGGACCATAGGAGCCGGAAGAGTTCTAGCTAATAAGCATGCCAGGGGCGCCTGAGATGCCAGGCCTCTAGTGGGGAGACTCTGCTCGCCTCTCAGCTACATTTGTAATTTGCTCTCGTCTTTCGGAGCCCAGGAAAATAACTCCGGAGATACTAGGCACTGCCACGAAATGGTTCCATTAGTTCCCGCAATTTACTCCCGGAGGTCTAAGAGAGACCCCAAAAGCTCTACCCACGGATCCCAACTTCCAAGCAGCCTCAGAGGCTGCAGGGAGTCAGGGCCCACTCCCTGGCTTCACCAAGAACCACCAAGAACCCTGGGGCCCGGCTGGCCGAGGGAACCAGACCAGGGATGAAGATATTCCAGGCTGGAGAAATAAGCAAACCAGATAGCAAACTAATGATACGAAAAACATATTTACACGGAAGAAAAATCGACTCTGGTTATAAGAGTGTGTGGAATTTGACCTCGCCTCGGAGCAACACTACACAAAAGCTGTCTTTAATAGACGTCTGTCGTTTAAGAGCGGCAGGGACACTGCCCTTCACGCGCTCACAAACAAAAAAAGAAAGGAAAAAGCCTTAATTGTGACTGCTGCTGTGGGCAGGATTTATTTCTTCAATTGGCTAAATGGTCTTCCCTTCCCCGAAGGTGATATCTGTGTTTTCAAAATTCACAGCTGCGGGCCGGACGGGCAGGACCGACCCCAACCTCTACACAAAAATAAGAGGGGCTACAAAGCCAGGGAAATAAAGTTGTTGTAAATAATTCCAAGTCACCACCTCCCCCTAATCCTCTGCATCCTCGCCGGGCGTGCGATCGGCAGCTGACGGCCTCACAATTGGTACATCCTAATGGAACTGCGAGGGAAATGCAATAATTTTGCCATAATGGGCTGTAACCTCAATTCGACCCCGGCCCTTGCAGCCCGAGGTCGGAAACGATGCGATCCGCCCTGTCTCCAGAGGGTGGCGCTCGAGTCCGACTGAACGGCGGCGGCGGGTTGCGGGCACGCGCCCAGGGCGCGCGCGCCACCCCTCTCGCCTCCACCCAACTCCCCCATTAGTGCACGAGTTTACCTCTAGAGGTCATCAGGCAGGATTTACGACTGGACAACAAAAGCACGTGATTCGAAGTCGTACCCCATATTTGGGTGCCTACGTAGGAGGGAACCGAGTACATGTCCCAGTCATTTCCATAATTCATCATAAATTGTGCAAGGGTGCTATAGACGCACAAACGACCGCGAGCCACAAATCAAGCACACATATCAAAAAACAAATGAGCTCTTATTTTGTAAACTCATTTTGCGGTCGCTATCCAAATGGCCCGGACTACCAGTTGCATAATTATGGAGATCATAGTTCCGTGAGCGAACAATTCAGGGACTCGGCGAGCATGCACTCCGGCAGGTACGGCTACGGCTACAATGGCATGGATCTCAGCGTCGGCCGTTCGGGTTCCGGCCACTTTGGCTCTGGCGAGCGCGCCCGCAGCTACGCGGCCGGGGCCAGTGCGGCGCCCGCCGAGCCCAGGTACAGTCAGCCGGCCACGTCCACGCACTCGCCTCCGCCCGACCCGCTGCCCTGCTCGGCGGTGGCTCCCTCGCCCGGCAGCGACAGCCACCACGGCGGCAAAAACTCCCTGGGCAACTCCAGCGGCGCCTCGGCCAACGCGGGCAGCACCCACATCAGCAGCAGAGAGGGGGTTGGCACGGCGTCCGCAGCCGAGGAGGACGCCCCTGCCAGCAGCGAGCAGGCGAGCGCCCAGAGCGAGCCGAGCCCGGCGCCGCCAGCTCAACCTCAGATCTACCCCTGGATGCGCAAGCTGCACATTAGTCACGGTAAAGCCAGCCGTTTTCTGATCCACGCGTCCGTGGGGGCGCGGGTCTCGGTCACCCTCTGTTCTTTGCAGCCTCTCTCCGGGTCTCTCGCCTAGTCTTGCCTCTCTCCAGCCCGCAGAGCCTCTCTCTGCGGTTTTCCTTTCCCTGCCTTCCTCTTTACTTCCTTCCCATTACTGCAGCAGCATCCTGTATTCGCAAATACTGGGGGGAATGGGATGGCCGAGCAAAAGTTTAGATGTTGAAAGAGGAAGAAATTCCATGTGGAACCCCAGTGCCTCGGAGCGCGCTTAAGGGTCAGGCCCGCAGAGCAGGGCATGGAGAGGTAGGGATGATAGTAGGGGCCATGAATCGGGCTTGTCAGGGTGGATAATTTATGAGAAGGGCTACGCTGGGGAAACAGCGTTACTAATTACAGCCCCCTAAAAGGGGCTTGGGGGGAATAATCCAGGCGAGGGCAAGCGAGATTCTGAAGTTTGGGGCCAAGAGAGAGGGGAAAGGAAAGAAAAGAAAAAGAAAGCGGGCGCCCCAAGCGTACAGGCTGGAACAGAAGGCGGCTAGGGCGGCTGGAACTTTAACGGAGGGTGACCTGGAGGCCACTTGGGAACTCAGAAAAAGGCAGTGCTTCGGTGCGTTTCTGAGCGGTGGGCAGTCTGGGAGGGCAATGCCCCTGCTTATGACAACTCGTGGAGGGCCAAAGAGCAGAATGGGGACGAGAGAGAGCCGGGCTGTCCTTCAAGACAGGGTTCCAGCCTCAGGTGGGCCGGTTGTGCCCAGAGTCCCAATCATGTTGTTTTTCACTTCAGAAAGGAAGAGGGAAGGAAATTCGGGAAGAGGGGAAAGGGAGGGGGGACTTGTTGAGCCTTTCCCCCCAGCTCAGGACCCTGGCTGCGTCTTAGAACCAGGTGCTAAGGAGTTGGTGGCTAAACAGCTGACTTTTCTGTTGCAGACAACATAGGCGGCCCAGAAGGCAAAAGGGCCCGGACGGCCTACACGCGCTACCAGACCCTGGAGCTGGAGAAGGAATTCCACTTCAACCGCTACCTGACCCGCCGAAGAAGGATTGAAATAGCACATGCTCTTTGCCTCTCCGAGAGACAAATTAAAATCTGGTTCCAAAACCGGAGAATGAAGTGGAAAAAAGATAACAAGCTGAAAAGTATGAGTATGGCCGCGGCGGGAGGGGCCTTCCGCCCCTGAGCCTCTGGCCGGTTCAAGTACTGAGCAGTATTAGCGGAGCTCTCCCTCCGTAATGTCAGTACTAAGGTGACTGTCTCAAACTCCCCCTGTGTTCCTTCTGTGAAGAAGCCCTGTTCTCGTTGCCCTAATTCATCTTTTAATCATGAGCCTGTTTATTGCCATGATAGCGCCTGTATAAGTAGATCTGCCTCTGTTCATCTCTTTGTCCTGAATGGCTTTGTCTTGAAAAAAAAAATAGATGTTTTAACTTATTTATATGAAGCAAGCTGTGTTACTTGAAGTAACTAAAACAAAAAAAAAGAAAAGAGAAAAAAAACCACACACACACAAAAAGCCCCCCTTCAACCTTGTTTAGTGCCAATGTTGTGTGTTGCACTTGAGTTGGTTAATGTGCATGTGCGTGGAAGTGTTCCTGTCTCAATAGCTCCAAGCTGTTAAAGATATTTTTATCCAAACTACCTATATTCCTTGTGTAATTAATGCTGTTGTAGAGGTGACTTGAGACACAACTTAACTTGTTCAACGTGTAGTGGCTAGTGACTGTGACGGAAACTGTGACTCCAAGCGGTGTGTCCCTGCGTGCCTTTGTAGGACCCTTTGCACGAACTCTGGAAGTGGCTCTTCTAAGCGCAGCTTCAGTGGTGTATGTTTTTGTGAACAAAGTTACAAATTTTGTTCGAGTCTGGCTGTTTAAGCAAACTGTGATCAGCTTTTTTTTTTGTATTTGTTTTTAAGGAAAAAATACTGACTGGAAACAAAAAATAAACTTTCTATTGTAAGTTCTCTTGGTCGTCTGATTTGTGTCAAACAGCAAGCGAGGGCTCTTTCTGTTTTTCTGTCTGTCCAGCGGTGCTGGAAGCTGGTGTGTCTGAGGCTACCTGGGCAGCTTGCCTCTTCAGGGTGGCCTCCCACCAGTACCTTGACTCACGGCCTTCCTAACTCTGAGCCATCAGAAAATTCATGCCAGAATCAGGTGGGAAAAGCTGTAGGAGGTTCCGAGGCCTGAGTCCACCCTGTCCATCTCTGAGGAAACCAAGTTAACTTAGTGGGTGCCAAAAAGGAGAGAAAGAGAAAGAAGAGAAAAGCCAGGGCTTTGTTAGTCACACTCCAGCCCACACAGATCCTTCATCCCTAAGGCTGTCCTAGGCCTTGCTGAAGGGGATCCTCTGCCAGGATGTAGACCCCAAACCCCCTGCCCACTAACCCACCCTAGTACCCCTTCCCCACTCCTCTTACTTAACCCAGTTGGCTTCTTTTGCTACAATTAATTTGCTACAAATGGAAAGTACTTACCCCATCCTAGCTCCATTGGGAAACTCCTCAGAGCAGCTAAAGCGCAACTAGAGATTTGCACATTTACCCACTGCTTACACGGATGCCGCCTTTCCTTTTAAAAGTTATATAACAGTAAACTTTATAAGCCCCAGTTCCGGCTATATGACATTTGGGTGCCAAATGAATAGGGTTTTGTCTATGAATTAGATCGTAAAATCATCCATAGCACAGACAGATCGGCTCACTGGCTATAAAACGTCACGTGGGGCCATTAAAGTAAGTTTTATGGTTTTGGGGAGTTGACATCCAACATTATATACCACATAACATATAATCTCACTAACGCTGGACTCCATTTGACTCTTTTGCAGGCTACGTGTGCTGCCTGGTCATTCAAATTGTCAATTTTAGGTCCAGAAGTGTCCAAACCACAAGTTCTCAAAACTCTCTGAAAAATGGCTCCCTCCAAGTTAAGGTAAGCTCTCGCCTCTTGAGTTTATTTGCCCTCTGAAAAGTTTCTTGCTCTTCTTTCTCTCTGGCTCAGTAACGCTGAAACTGTCTCAGAATTCAAAATGGGAGAACAAACTTTTCCCTCTGCCCAAATTAGCAAAGTCTGAGCCAGCTTTGTGGGGCAGCACGGTGAACAGCGCCTGTGGCCGAGCCGCATCCCAGGCCTAACTTTAATTGCTCGCAATCGGGGATGTTAATGACTTCCGCTGCTCCCGCCGGCGTGCAAAAAGATGATTTTTTTGTGTGTGAGAATGGGTCTGTGTGTGAAACTTGGCAGCCCCCGTCCCTCTTTCTAAGCTTGGCCAGGTCCAGGCTCTTTGGGGGTCGCGGAGCTCTGGGATGGGGGCCCTGGGAGTTGAAGAGCTCGGGCCACTGAAGTAGAAGGCTGAACTGAACTGGAGAGTTTGAAAGAAAGGCCCGGGTAGGGCCGAGGCCGATACTGGCGGGATTCCTTATGGGGCTGTGGCAATATGTCTTCGCGGGCCAGGGTCATTTGGCAGGACTGAATTGAGGCGGCGGCCTTCGATGCTGGGTTTCAGACTGGCTGGAGACAGCAGAAAGCTGGCTGGGGCCCTAGCTGTGTGGCAGAGACCAGAGTGCTAGCACCCACAGAATGCTGTGGGCAGCGGGTCCCCACCTAGGAGGTAGAGGGTACTCAGCTTCCCCCGCAAAGGGCCAGGCCCTGAACCCTGTTTGCCAGTTCCTTTCTTTTTGCCTCGGTGTTCTCACCCGCCTGTGAGTCTGAAGCCATAAACTTTATGGCCGGATTTAACTTTAGTCTTTGAATCCCCAGGCTAACTGAAAGGGGTCACAGCGCTTTCTTTTTTCCCCGCCTGCCTTTCTTCTGTCTCCCTTCTTTCCTTTTCCTCCATTTCTTTGTAGGAGTAAGACATCAGTGCTCAGGACCCCCAAAAGGCAAGTTAGGTGACTCCCTAGATAACACTAAGGGCAGAGAGAAGCGTACCCCTATACAACATGCAGACCAATTCCTTCTTCTGAAACTGTACCTAAAGTTTTGAAGGAAACTGAGGTGTCTTCAATGCCCAACTTAAAAGTTCCGAGAGTCATTAGGTTGTTTTTCTTGACACATCATAAAGGGTAGTTTAGGAAGAAATTGCTCGTTTGTCAGTAGGAGATTTCCTTATCTC